AATTGAGCTGGAGATAGAACCATTTATAAACTCATAGCCCATCTCTGAAGGAGATGGGTGGTTAAAAAAATGGAAAATGTAAACAAATAATCTAATTAAGAAATCATCCAGGGTTCCATTAACCATATATGCATTCTACCTTCAATGGTAAATTTTTAAGGATTAAATCTTGGAATGAAAATTTGTCGAGAATGACTTTTGAATTTGCCACTTCATGTACAAAGACAGTAGTCTCTCTTTACTTATGATTTCAGTGAGGAGATGCTGGGAAACATTAACAAGTGTGGAGAGAACCTAAAAGGAGGATGGGAAAGAAAATAACACCCAAGCAGCCTAAACGAAATTCAAAATTATCTCACTGATATGTGAAGAAAGTAATATACTATATTTAATAGAGAGCTTGTGAAGGTTTTCCTCTTAGGAAACCAAATATGGAACTATTCCCATTTTGATAACAACATTAATAAAAAGTAGTTTTCATGATTAGAAAAAACTAGACTGCAGAAAAAAAGTGAGCTCCTTTTCTGAAATCATAAATTATGAGTCCTGACTGCAAATATAATATTTGCTAAAGAAGAAGTTGGAAGCTTCTTTTCTCTATTTGTTTTGTTCAGTCTTTCTGCACTCTTTATTTAATAGGGAGCTTGTGAAGGTTTTCCTCTTAGGAAACCAAATATGGAACTATTCCCATTTTGGTAACAACATTAATAAAAAAGTCTTGAAGTAGCTGATTGCAAGGGAAGTATAATCAGTAGTTTCATGTAGTTGATAAAAAAATAGGCAACACTATTTTAGGTTTTATCAACAGAAGCATCATTTGCAAATAATGACAAATTCTTTGTTCCATTCCATATATTTAAATCCTATATTCCAATTCTGAGCACCACATTTTAAGAAGGATTTAGACAGACTGGAATCGGTTCAGGTGTGGAAAGGGAATTTCATGAGGACAGTGGTGACACCCAAGCAGGAAAAGCCCAAAGGGAACATCAGGCCAGCCATAAAACAAACTTGCATAGGAAAAGAGATTTAATAAAAGGAAATCTCTTACAAACAACAGGTCATGCCAAATCATCAAAACAAATAGACACAAAATATATTGCAAGGGAGACAGACAGGAGATTGCCACAAAACAAATATAAGAAAACATTAGGATGAAACTGATAATCCAATCAAACCACCCCGTGGAGTTTACCCTCTGGTGGAAATGAAGACAACCCCTGACAGGATTTAAAACATTAAGAAATACAAACACAAGCACACACACACAAAAGGAGAAAAGGTATAAAAATCAGGGGTTTATTATACAAAGATGGCTAGCCCCAGGAACGCAGACTTCTTGCTATCTCTTGCCTTCCTGAAAAATAAAAAGAACCAGCTTCCAAGCAGTTGTCTGTGTCCTTGCACTGGAGCCCTCCCAGCAGGAAAATCGAGCCCTCAGAAGAAAGGCATTTTCAAGCCTTTCAACACAGGAAAACATAATTAGGTTCATCAACCTTCTGTGAAATCTTCCTTACTGAGTTTGGGTGATAGATACTAACTGGTTAGAGACATACCGTATATAAACTTTGCCTTTTTAATGCATTTTTGAAGTTCTTCAAAAGTTCTTCACCAATCTTTTAATTCAAACCAACTTCCCAATTTCCACCCATGAATGAGTCAAGCATTTCTTTGGAAGTCAATATTTTGCTTTAAGGCGTAAACGTTTCTGAAAAGGTACACCCTCTGTGCCTATATACTTAACATGATAGCAAATATAGATAATTGGATACTTTGAAAATAATCATGAGAAAGCAAGTAAAATATCTCCCCTCTCTTTATTATTAAGGAACAACAACTTTTCTCGGGTTGAAAAAAAGGGGATTATGAATTGTGTATCCCCAGATGCCACAGAGATTTACTGGGGTGCCCTGGAATGTCTAAAACATTTAAAATTGTCAAGGGAAAAGGTGTGATCCTTAACATCTGGCACTGAACAGGCAACTCAGGGCACAACAGTTTTAATCTAAATCAAAGTTCCCCAACTTTTCTGGCTTTGTGGACTGGGGTGGTGATGGAGGGGTGGTTTGTGTAAGTGGCTGGCAAGCGTGCGTGTTGGTCCATTTGTACGAGCAGCATGCATGTGCACCTGCTACTTATGGAAATGAAATGCACATGTACGCATTTGCCCACTGCAAGTGAGGCAGGGGTGGGATTCAAAAGTCCCAGCAACCAGTTCACTGCCCATTTGCTGGGTGGTCATGGCCATGGTGGGTGTGGCCTATCAGTACTTCTGGTAGGGCCGTTTTTCACTTTCCCAAGAGTCTGGAGGCTTCCCTTGGGCCTCTGGGAGAGCGAAAATGGCCTCCCCAGGGTTTTAGAGGCCCTCTAGAAGCTGGAAACAGGCCTGTTTCCAGGAGGCCTGTTTTTCCCCCTCCAATTGCCTCCGCGCACCCTGCACTTACTTGCATAGAAAATAGGTTGAGTGGAGACTCCTGGGAGGGGCGGGGCATGGTGGGTGGGGACATCTGGTCAGTTCAAATACTGGTTCAGTGAACCAGATGCGAATTTAACACCCGGTTCACTCAAACTGGTCCGAACTGGTAGAATCCCACCCCTGAAGGGAGGATGTGTGTGTGCGTGCATGTGACGGCCATGGTTTCCAGTTGCAAACCCTTCATGGCTCACTGGTTGGGATCCCTGATCTAAATTATGGAGATACCAAGGGCACCATGAACTGAGAAATTCAGGGGAACCTCTCTGCTATAATTTTAAGAATGAGATCGGTTTTAATAAGGGGAACCTGACCCCCCCCCCCCTATATTTGCAACGTAAATAGGTCTCTATTACAGAACTGGTCAACCTAAATCAATGCAATAAGAATAATTCAGTGTGAGAAACTATAGCAAGTACTATGCCTCCCCTTATTCCATTCTAAGGAATGTTATGCAAAGTTTGGAGAAGGCCTAAGAAATTATATGAGAAAGAAATTAAGGTATGTAACAAGAAAAAGAAAAGGAAGTATAATTAAATCTGATTTATGTTAACTAACAACCAATCTTTAAGGACTTGAATAGCAGTGATGACAAAAATGATAAAATGTGTATTCTGAAATTATGGCATGTGTTCTCTGCCTTTATTCTTAGGTTGCACATTTTTAGTGATGGGCCCTGAAAATAATGTCAGAGCATTTGCAGTGTGACTACTATTATGAGACAACCCAGGAGCAAAACACAGCACACAGAGACTTAGACATCTAACAGTGGTTTATATACAACAGTTATATACAGAAATATATGTGCTAGCAAATCCCTGACAAGTAAGCAAACTTCTTAATTCTACACACTGAGAACTCTGCAATGAATACTGGACACAAGGAGAGAGAACCACACCCTGTAATGGCTGCCTTTATATAAACCCCTCTTAAAAGGGATGGAATCCATCCCCATGCTATTCATTCTTATTGCATTGGCCATATCTGGTCAGCTTCACTGTTGGTCGGCTCTTAAATCCCAAGATCTTAACAAATAAGGAACAAAGAACAGGAAAACCTGAAAGAACAGCTGGCAGAGATACAATACTGGGTCTGGGAGAACAGCCAGGTCTGCTTGACAACTGGCTCACATTTATGATATTTGCAATGTGACCTTCTGACAAGCAAAGTCAATAGGGAAACCAGATTCACTTAAACATTGTGCTACTAATTTAAGAACTGCAGTGATTCACTTTACAAACATTGGGAGAAAAGTCATAAAATGGAGCAAACTCACTTAACAAATTTCTCACTTAAGAACATAAATCTTGGGTCCAATTGTGGCTGTAAGTTGAGGATTACCTGTACTATTTGGATGCAAACTTTTAATCAAAGATTGAAAAAAGAATGGTAGTGAATATATGTTGCACACATAAAAAGTGACAAAAAGAGACAACAGTCCACTATAGAATTTCAAGAAATGGTTAGATGAACACACTTCCCAAATATACATTGCCACTGTCAATATTGTTCATTGCATTAGGAGGCCAAATAACCTTCACTAAGAGAAGGACTGATCCAGGAAATTAAAACTGCATCATTTAATTGATGTAGGAAGCAGTTAGATTGATATGAGCATTGTGTAAACTCAAGTACCTGACAAAAATGGAAGCAAGATAGAATGAGATTATCATACGCTGAAATATGAAATAGGTTTGATGTTACCCATAATGGTAGAGTGGCTGGTGAAGATGATAGGACTTGCAGACATGACTAAGCTAACTTCTTTGATTCGAGAAAAAAAAATCATTTATTGAATAGAAACCTCTTATAGATTTGTTGCATGGAAGAGGAAAACATATATTTATTATTTGTAGTTTTCATGATTAGAAAAAACTAGACTGCAGAAAAAAAAGTGAGTTCTGATTGCAAATATATTTGCTAAAGAAGAAGTTGGAAGCTTCTTTTCTGTATTTGTTTTGTTCAGTCTTTCTGCACTCTTTGTCTTTTCCTCCTTCTTTTATCTTTGCTTTTTTTGCTGTTCATTAGCTTGCATTAGCTTTTATGTTCCTTCTAAAACTTTAATAAAATTTACGAAACAAAAACAAAAAAGGAAGCCAAGTGTGTTTTTCTCAAAACTAATGGAAGGATTGGTGTTTTTGCAAGGAGTTACCTTTCTCAACTGTGCTAATATTTGACATAACATAAACCAGAATGTTTGACATAATATAGGCTAGACACCATGGCACTTAAGATCAATAAAATAAAGAAACCAAGCAAATATCATAAATGAAAAATAGAGCATGATGTTTGCTTCCCAGAATCAATCAGTTGATTTTTGATAATTGCTTTCTTCAACCTGAGGAAATATTAATCGGTTTTCTTTGACACTGAGTTTTATTTGTTTTCCTATCAGTTATGGACAAAAGAAGAGGGTGGACAAGAAAATCTTTGAAGAAATGTATCCGTCTTGATATTGTGCCAAGCCTATCTGGAGACTATTTAATGGTTGCTCAGAAATCAGCAGTCCACCAACTTCCCAGTTGAAGAAATTTGAAAGGTGAGAGGCTGAAAGCATCTTTGGTAAGAATTGGTTAGACACTCTCTGCTATCTGTACAGCGATCCAGCTTTGCAATAAGAAGATGGCTTTTTGAAGTAGCAATAGAGCTTTTCATGAGTTGTATGCTAGGAACTGAAACAGTAAAATTTTCAGGTAGACTAGGATCAAAATTAAATTATGGAACTTGACAATGTACTTTCTTTCTGAGCAAGCTAATATCAATGCCATTCTATTAATTCTTCTATCACATCTACTTCTCTTTTCTCCCTAAAGGTAAGCAGGAGATGGGACTCTCCACGTACATCAGCCTCTGTTGCCTTGGAATCTTGATTACTAACCCTTTTTTGGGAGGTGAGCCCCCCCCCCCCCATTTAATCGTGATATGGGAAATATTGAAAATTAAACAACTTAGATAAGTAAGTTCTGTCTTCAGACATTTCTTCAGATGTGTCCTATAGGAGTCAGGTGGGATTCTATGCTGCTCCCAGCTTTCTGAAACTGTACTGCTGAGATGCACTAATAAAATGGATATATTTCAGCAGGGTAATTTGTCAGGTTCCACATTTTAATTTAATTTCCATGTTAGGAGTAGGGATAGTAATAGTAATTCTCTCTCTCAGACATTGCCATATTTTCCAATGACTCCAATACAGCACAGTTTTATACATAGAACAGATAGTGGATTATCAGAGTTGGAAGGGACCTTGTAGATCATCTAGTCCGACCCCCCACCCAAGCAGGAGACCCTATACCATTTCTGACAAATGGCAGTCCAATCTCTATTTGAAAATCTCAAGTGATTATGCTCTCACAACTTCCGAGGGCAAGCTGTTCCATTGGTTGTTGGTTCAACATGGGGTTGTCCATTTGAGATTTTTGCAATATTTTGAGGGCTGAGAATAGGACTAGGAGGCCTTTTGGTCACTAATATTCTTCCAGATCCCTAGAATATCTTGACATTGGTCTGGAAAATAGATTTTGGACCACTTTCAAGGTTGAAATGAGGAAGTGGAAGTAGTTTGTGTCCCTGAGCCCTTTTGCTCCATTTTAAAATCCTATCCTCTAAACCAGAAAAAGTCATTCCCTTCATAATTGGTGAAGTTCATGGGCAATTCAGCAGATGATCTCCTTTTACTTCTGAAGGGTTGAGATACTGAGTCTCAGTCCTCAACCCTTCCAATCATGTCTACTCCTAACTGAAGAGATTCCATTCAGGAATAAAAAAGAGTAAAGTTTTGAAATAAGAATATATGATGAAATTGCAAATCTGACAGATAAAAGTACAAAAGTACAAGGATTATGAAGATATGAGAGATATTTGTAATTTAAATAGGAGAAAAGTATTTGGGAAAAATGTAATAATAGAAAATATATAAAGTATTGGTAAAATATGAAATTGAATGGGTAATTATGGTCATATTTGTATGTAAACCTGGAATCATGCTGTTCACTAAAAAGAGATGTTTTTAAAATGTGGAAAACTGAAATAAAATTTTACTAAACAAAAAAAAGGACAGGGATGACTAACAGCGGAGTTTGGGGGAGAGAAAGAATGATTTCTACTGCTTCTGCTGATTTCCTTGCATGAAGCCAAAAGTCTCTCTCTCTCCCCCTGAGAACGGAGCTGGCGACGGTATCCTGCAATCCCAAATAAAGAATGATTAATTGGTAGGAAAACGGGGTGGGGATTTTCCTGCAGATTTTTTTTGGATTTTCCCAGGGTCTCTGGTCCTCAGGATTTAAAATTATGACTTCGGTGGTCCCTGAGGTTCAAAAGGTTGGCGACCTCTGGTTTAGTGTGATTTTTAATCTTGGCTGTCCTGGATTCAAATTCTTTGGTCTATGACTCCATGCAAGGGATACCTCAAACCTCCCCACTTCCCATTTAAGACCCTCAAAGCCACCCCTGTGCTTGTGGATAATTTTTGGTGGTGGAAAGGAGAAAAAAACTGCAGCAGAGGCTGTAAAATAGGACAACAGGTAGCCCTCGACTTATGACCACAATTGAGCCCCCTAAATTTCTGTTGCTAAGCCAGACACTTGCTAAGTGAGTTCTGCCCCATTTTACAACCTTTTTTTTGGGGGGGGGGGGACAGTTGTTAAGCAACTCATTGGCAACTGTTAAGTTAATAACCCGGTTGTTCAGTAAATCCGGCTTCCCCTGTTGAATTTGCTTGTCTGAAGGTTGCAAAAGGGGATTGCATGGTCACACTGCATCCGTCATAAATATGAGTCCACTGCCAAGTGACCGAATTTGGATCATGTGACCGTGGGGAGGTTGAAAAAGTTGTTATCTGTGAAAAGTTCAAAGTTACAACATCATTCTCCCCCCCCCCCTCATAATTTTTTATCCAGTTTATCTGACTCTAGGGCACGGTTTTCACATCTGTTTCTTCACCGAGGGAGGCAGCGTTGTCCGAAGACATTTTCCATGCCACCTAAATAGTACCTATTAATCTACTTGCATTTTCATGCTAGGTGGGCAGGAGCAGGGACAGGCGCAAACCCTGTTTCGTGGTGCTCAGGGCTGTCAACTTTCCAGCTGATAAACTCAGCACCTTTAACCACTGAGCCATCACTCCCCATTCAGGAATATCTGGAAACTATTCCAAGTACTTACATTTTTAATCTCCTTTTGTCTCCATGCAGCCAAAGCTGCGTCATGCCCCAGAAACTGGCTGCAGAAACAGGGGAACTGCTATGGATATTTTGATGAGAAACTAAGTTGGGATGAAGCTGAGGTAAGAACCATGAGTCCGGATGTGGTGAAAAATTTCTTGAGAAACCAAAATTGCACAATTGGAGATGTGGAATGTTTAGAGTCTGGAATGATCCCATTCATGAATTATTTCCTTGTCTTGCCTTTATTCCTAGTTTGAGTGCCAGACCTTTGGTCCTGGAAGTCATCTCGCCTCTATCCTCAGCACCCAAGAGTCTGCACTAATGTCTGTATACATCAAAGACAAACAGAAATCACTTAGCCATGTCTGGATAGGACTCCGTGATATCTCTGGAGTAAGTCTGATGTTTGTCATTTCTTTTTTCTTTTTTTTCATTGCATTTTTTACCAAGTAATTTTACACATCCACGTCTGTTACTTTAGGTGAGCTGTTTGCTGTGGTTAATTTAGTTTAGTTTACTTTATTGTCATTGCTCCCTGTACAACAAAATCAAACACTATCTTCAATCAAACACATCATGACCATGACCATGAAAATAAACACAAACACACATCCTTCACCCTTCACACATTGAAACGGAAACCCCCAACATCACACCAACACTGCACTATACAGCAGAATTCAAAAGAGATACTGCCCTGGGATAGAAGCTGTTTTTCAGCCTATTTGTCCTTGTTTTTATTATTCTGTACTGTCTGCCAGAAAAAGGGTTCCCAGGATGAGATGGATCTTTGAGAATGTTTTGAACTTTCTTAAGGCAGCGGGAGCTATAAAGCTCTTCCAAAGAGGGGAGAGGGCAACCAATGATCTTCTGGGCAATGACATTAACCCTTAATATATTGCTAGGAACCTGAAGTTGATTCTTGATGCTCGTAACTACAATCAGTGCTGGATTTAGGCACAAGCTAATTAATAGCAATAGTACTTAGACTTATCAACTGCTTTACAGCCCTCTCTAAGAGGTTTTCAGAGTCCATATTTATAGAGTTTATATTTCCCCCAACAATCTGGGTCCTCATTTTACCCACCTTGGAAGGATGAAAGGCTGAGTCAACCTTGAGCCTAGTGAGATTTGAACTGCCAAATTGCAGGCAGCCAGCAGTCAGCAGAAATAGCCTGCAGTACTGCATTCTAACCACTGCACCAATGTGGCTCAATTAAGCTACATTTGTGGCTTGCACAATCTGAACAATTTTCAGAACTTGTTCTTTTTGGCTTTCAGAAATTTATGGGGCACTTTATATGTATTGTAGGTATAAAATTCTTGAGTAGCCACCGTTTAAATAATAATTTTTTTGTTGATGTTTAAAAACAGAAAGCAAAAAATATCAACTCATTAAGAATGAATCATGAAGCTTTATTATTCCTCAGATGAAGAGATTTATTTCCCCCCTTTTCCCTTATTTTTTCTTATTTATATCTGTTTGCAAGGTATATTGTTATAATCTAAGAGAGTGATCAAACCAGCCAAATGAAAAATATATAATTAGCATATTGAAAATAATTTGTATTTTTCACTTTATATTCCTTACTATTAAAGTCTGTTAAAGTCTCTTGAACAATTGGCCCTTCAAGGTTTCTTTAGCTTAGGGCAGGGGTGTCAAACTTGTGTCATCATGTGGTCAAGTGACATATCATCATGTTTTTCCTCTTTGCTAAAATGGGGCTAGGCATGGCCAGTGTGTGACACATCTGGCCCATGGGCCACGAGTTCAACAACCCTGGTTTAGGGCCTCATCTAGTCTACATCCTGTGCTGACTGTAGTGATATTAAGAAAGCTTCTAATCAGAGCTCTCCAAACTTGGCAACTTTAAGACTTGTGGACTTCAACTCCCAGAATTCTCCAGCCAATTGTGCATGATTGCTGTTTTTACCTTGAATCATGCGTTCTACAAAAATTGTCCCTTGACAACTTGGGGAGAGTGTAGTAGTCAGTATCTAAAAGTTGCCTGCCACTCAAATCTTCCAGCCAATTGGTGTAGCTTATGATCCCAAGAGTTTACTTACCTTCTTAATATGTGATCATGGTCTCTCTTTCAGCAACAGAGAAGGCGATGGAGATGGGCTGATGAATCTACCTACAACTATAAAGCCTGGCTGCTTTACCAGCCAGACAACAGACAAAAGAATGAGCACTGTGTGGAGGTGACATATTTTTCAGGTAAGTCAACACTTCTTACCTGGTGGTCATTTAGTCAAGCCATAGCCTTCAAGGAAACAAGGGTTTGTCTGTTTAACTTGGAATTATCCCATAAGCAAGAGGAATGGAAACCATATGTTTCATGAAGTTATCCCATAATTCAAAACTAAAGATTACCTCACTCTCAATATCTCCTTTTTAAAAAAATAAAAGCCTTTGGGAGAAATGGTTAGCTTTCCATGAGGGCAAAGCTAGATAACTGTTCCACGGTTCCCCAACTCTCTCCTCTCCTCTCCTCCCTTCCCCCCCCCCCCCCCCCCTTTCCTTTCCATTTCTTTCATCTCCTCTCCTACTCTCCTCTCCTCCACTCTCCTACATTACCTCCCCTCCCCTCTCTTCTCCTCCCTTTTCTTCTCCTCCCTTCCTTCTCCTCTCCTCCCCTCTCCTCTTTCATAAATACTAGAACTCTTTTTGTGATGAAGCAAGGGAAGTTTATTTTGACAATGACAAATAATTTTTTGCAGAGGGGTGGACTATCAATAACTGTATTCTCCATTTATTCTCTGGAAGTCAACATTCACTTTGCCTTTCATGGGTAATTCCATTTGGATCAGTGGAAAACTTCCAAAGAATGACCATATTTTCCAGACCGCTGTTGAAGGAATTAAGAATTAACTTCTGTCTTATTTTTTGCATTTTAGATTTTAAATTGTGGAACGATGGGAAATGTACCAATAAAAATGCTTACATCTGTAAGTACCAGCTGTAGAGCCATCTGGAGGAAGGCAGCTGGGATGCAACCAGAACCAAAATACCTACAAAATACCTACAAATTTGATCAGCATCCTGTTGATTTTCCTGCTTTTGATCAGATTTTTCTCTATTCCTATGTAAACTTTCCTCTTAGGACAGACAACAACCCCATTACCCTATTCTCCTCCTTTTTCTCAATGGAAATATAGTATAAATAAACTCTCTCGAGCTTATACAATACAAAGTTTCTGTGGGTATTTCTGTCATTCAAGGAATGACAGGGAATAGCAACATTGGGTGGGGCCAGAGATGATATTCAGCAGGTTCTGACCAGTTCTGGAGAACTGATAGTGGAAATTTTGAGTAGTTTGGAGAACCGGCAAATACCACCTCTCACTGGCCCCGCCCCCATCTATTCTTTGCCTCCTGAGTCCCAGCTGATTGGCTGGGTCTTCTTTTGTTGCCCTGCACAGGAGAATGGAGCTGGAAAGCAGGTTAGTGGGGTGGTAACCTTTGCCCAGGAATGCCCAGGGAATGGAAATTTTGCAGTATCCTTCCCCTGCCATGCCTACCAAGCCATGCCACACTACACCCAATAAGCCATGCCCACAGAACTAGTAGTAAAAAATTTGAATCCCACCACCTGTGGAGCAGAAGCTGTTGTATTGGCTGCATCAAATCCAAGAGTTTCATCCTAATATTTCAGGAGAAAGGAATAAAAGGAATGAATGGAAAAGAGAGGAGAAAAGACATGTTGGCCCCTAGGGGCATCATAGCAGAAGGAGTTCCAAAAACATTAAAATGGCAGTCTTGACTGAAATTGAAGCACCAATATGCATTCCTTTGAGCACAGGTGAACACTGCTGAAGCCTGGAGGTTTTCAAGAAAAGATTGGACAACCATTTGTCCAGGATGGTATAAGGTTCCTTCCAGCCCTATGATTCTAACTTATGTGAAAGGCAATGGATGCCAGTATCAGACTTTATCCTGGGCATCTGTTCATTTCTCAACAATTTCTCTTTAATTCTCTCTGGAATTTTTGGAAAGCTTTTAGGATTGACTGCAAACTTTGGTGGCAGGAAGTACCCAAATATATATATCAATGACAACTTTCTTTTCTAATCATTTTCACAAAGGGCTTGTTAACTGCTTTTCAGCTATTAGAAACCTTTGCATCAACAGGGTTTACTATGTAAGGTAAATGTCCTTCAATCCTTAACCAAATAAGTTTTAAACATAATTTTAAGAATGAACATTATTTTTTTAGTAAAGAGCAAAAGGGTGATTAATACCTTGATTTTGGAAAATTAAAAAAAATGAAGTGAAATATCTAGCATTGTTCTTTCATATCACTGTAGGGATCCCCAAACTTGGCAACTTTAAAACTTGTGGACTTCAACTCCCAGAATTCTCCAGCCAGCATAGAAAAACAGCTTCTATTCCAGGGCAGTAGCCCTTTTGAATTCTACTGTATAGTGCAGTGTTGGTGCAGTGTTGGGTTTTTTTGATTCAATGTGTGGAGTGTGAAGGATGTGTGTTTGTGTTTATTTTCATGGTCATGATGTGCACCGTGTTTGATTTCATTATACGAGGTGTAAGGACAATAAAGTAAACTAACTAAAGTAGTTTTGAATTATGGAAACTCTATGGAACCTATGGGCCCCATTCTTCTGTCTTATTAAACAAATTAAACACATCTTATTAAAACAAACTGTCCAAATTAAACAAACCACTCCTTATTTTCCCGATAGTCCTGGCTGGTTCATCAAGGATGAAAACTTGGTTCATCAAGGACCACCAGGTAAGAAGGTACCTGAGAAATACATCAGCTGTACCTGAGAAATACATCAGCTCTGCACATTGCTCCACTTGATTTATGTATTCTACTCAGCCTGTCATCCAGGCTTTGGAGTTGTAGGTGGATTCATCAGTCCATCTCCATCACCTTTTCTGTTGAAAAAAGACAAACCTTACACAGATTGGCTGAAAGAGTTGAGTGGTGAGCAGTTCTTAGACACTGGTTATGATGAATATGTTCAAACAGTCACCCCAAGTAGTTAAGTGACAATTGTTGTAAGCGCATATGCATTAAAATAATAAATAGTAAGGTATCATATCATACCAAATTCATGACAGTGAATATGATGGCAATAGCTATGTGTAACATTCAGCTTTATGAAATTTTGCACTGGAGAGCTGCATTTTATTAAATATTTTTGTTACCACCATTCTTCTCCCACCATACATATTTATCTTAAAAGCAGATTCAACAAAGTAGACCAGAATCTACTTAATGGTAAGCTATAAAAAAGTGGGATATCAGATAGATAGCACCGCCACCAGATGGATTCGCATCTGGCTGACAAACCATACTCAATGAGTAGTCCTTAATGGGTCTAAGTCTACATGGAGGGAAGTAAGCAGTGGGGTGTCGCAAGATTTTGCCTTAGGCCCAGTACTCTTCAATATCTTCCTTAATGACATGGAATAGAAGGGAAACTCACCAAATTTGCAGATGATATTAAGCTGGCAGGAATAGCTAACACCCAAGAAGATAGGCTCACATGGATGCTGCAGCTGACCACCCCTTCTTTCAGTGTATGGTGTATATGATTCTGTGTGTGTTTTGGATCCTTTCCTTGATTGAATCCTGTGGGGCAAGGAGCATCTATAGTCAGCAAGCCTTGTTACAAATTGGACTGAAATGCGAAAAGGCTATTAGGGATGATTTTATACATTCTCATAACATACTGAAGAAGGCAGGTAGGACCCTGGGAGAGCCATGGATCACTATCCCTATAGGAAGGAGGAAGAGGCAGAAAAAGAGGAACAGGGAGAGGAAGAGAGGATGCCATGCTGGGATTTTCTTTAGGCTAAATTTCCACACAAGCCTTCAATTCCAAGTATATTTCTTACAAATGCAAGATCTCTGACTAAGAAAATGGATGAATTAAGGCTATGGATTGCAAAGACTAAATTCATCAAGAAGTGCTGTGTTTTGCTAATCACAGAAACTTGGCTTCATTCATTCCAGATGCAGCTGTTGAGCTGGAAGGCTACATAGCTCACTTGGGTTGCAAGGCTTCGGCGGCGGCAGGAATCCGTGGCTCTGCGGGTCCCTGCTGCGCTCGCTGCTGAAGTACCCCCAATCCAATTGGATTTGGGGGTTGTCGCTACCCAGGAGAGGTAGCGGAAGATAGAGGAGATCCAGGCAGGGGTCTCGGGACATCGCAACCCCTTTCCTCAGCTGGCTAGACTCCTTTTTCCTGAGGCGGTGGAGCGGCTGTCAGTAATGGTAGCCACAAAGAGATCTTCAACCGGACAAGATTTGTGCAGGAGGAAGAATTAGAAAGAGAAAGTTTTTTGGCTGAACGGGGACATTAAGATATATTTAAACACCCTGGAAATCTGACTCTTTGATTGATACATTTGTTTCCAAAAGAGGCTATTAAAGCGGCAGATGAAAGTGCTGAGGGAAAGTTCACTCCCCTTCCTTATGGAGATAGCAAACGAACATTGAAAAACCTACTTCTTTACAGAAGGTAAAAATAAGCTCTTTGTTATAAGTGGGAAGGGAGAGGACTAAAAAATCTTTAAGAATTTGTTGGAGGAGACGCCTTGAAGATTACCAGACCAGAAATTAACTGTGGAGTATATAACTCTTAAATGTAGACCCATATATCTTCCATGGGAATTCAGAGTGGTTTTGATTACTGCAGTCTATATCCCACCTGATGCCAATACTACCATAGCTTTGGGATTCTTGTATAACATTGTTAGTAATCAGCAGAATAAGTATCCTGATGCTGTGCATATCATAGCAGGAGACTTTAATCAAGCTGATTTAAAAGCAGTGCTCCCTAAATTCTATCAGCATGTTAAATCTCTAAATTTTATCAGCATGTGCTACTAGAGGAGCAAACATATTGGACAAAGTATATACCAACATCAAACATCGCTATAGGTTATACAATTACCACATTTAGGACAATCAGACCATATGTCATTGCTTTTAGCACCAGTATACATCCATCTTAGGAGACAGGTTCTGCCTATTATAAAGACAGTGAAATCTTGACCAGAAGATGCTTCCCAACAGCTTCAGGATTATTTTGAGAACACAAATTGGGACATCTTTTACCACCCTGACCTAGAGGAGCATACTGCAATTGTTCTGTGCTATATCAAACACTGCATAGATACTATCACTGTGGATAAACGTATTAGGATCTATCCCAATCAGAAACCCTGGATGACCAAGGAAGTCCAGCACCTCTTGCATGACAGGACCAAGGCCCTTAGGTAGCAATAACAGGAGGCATGTGTGGCAAGGGATTCAACAAATTACAAACCATCAACCGACCAATGTCATCCCTGCTTAGGGGGATGCTTCATTGGCAGAGGAACTGAATCATTTCTTTGCTCAGAGACATCAGAGACAGATAAAATACAACTGCCAGCCAATTGTAGCCCCTACCTCATTGTGGAGGAACAGAAAGTGAGGAGCATTCTGAGGACTGTGGACCCTAGAAAGGCTACCAGTCCTGATGGTATCTCTGGCCAAGTGCTTAAAGACTGTGCTGATCAGTTGGTTGGAGTCTTTACCAGGATCTTCAATCAGTCTTTATCCCATATGTTTGAAGGCTTCCACCATTGTTCCACTGACAAAGAAGTTCCCTATCAATAACCTCAACAATTACAGACCAGTGGCACTCCTATCATCATGAAATGCTTTGAGAAATTGGTCTGCTAGCATATCATTTCTGGTCTTCCGCATACATTTGATAAACACCAGTTTGCATACAGAAAAAATAGATCTACAGAGGACGCTATAGCCACCACTCTTCACACTGCTCTGACTCATCTAGAACAGTGGGGGGGACTGTGTGAGGATGGTTTTTGTGGATTTTAGTTCTGTGTTTAACACAACTCTTCCACACAGACTAGTGTCTAAACTTCTGGACCTTGGACTTTCTAATTCAATCTGCCTTTGGATTATGGATTTCCTGTCTGGCTCTCACAGAGGGTCAGATTAGATAATCATACCTCTTCAGCCCTTATTCTTAACACTGGTACACCACAGGGTTGCGTGCTGTGTCCCTTACTCTATACTCTTTATGTGCATGACTGCATTCCCACTCACGCTAGAAATACTATTGCTAAATTTGCAGATGATACAATAGTGGTGGGACTCATCTCCAGGGGGAATGAATCTGCC